CACTCTAAAAAAGAAAAGCTGGTCTGAGAAGTGAATTGTGAAACCAATACAGAGTGAATATTCAGAATAGGTGTCAGTAAACTGTTGCTCCCATGGACTCACCCATGGACTGTAAAATGCAGCCAACTATGAACTAGCTAGGCCTGCAAGGCAGGAATCACCTAAAATATAAAAGCCAAAATCTCTGGGGTTTGTCGGCAGAAATTTTCTGTAATGACAACTGAAAATGTATGGCCATTGAAGTCAATGGACGCCTCCTCTCACAGAAAGGAGTGTGCTTTAGACAGGCACATTGTAATCATCTTCTCTAACTTGCTTTACCGTCTCTGATTTTCTCCCCTACTTTGATACTGTTAGATATTACCTGTTTTCTCTCCATTTCCCCTTTGGTGCCCCCACTTGTGACTGGACAACCACCATGCAAGATGCTTCAGCACAAACCACACAGAAAGTGGCCTTGACATGTGCAGGCGCTGCAGCCTGGCACACACAGCTGGGCAGCTGCAAATACAGAAGATGAACTGACCCTTATGTGCAAACACACATGTTTATATTGTAAATTCTTTGTGCAGAGGCTGGGGACAGCCAAAGGTTTGCATTGTATCTCACACAATACTTTCCCAGTCTAGGCATGGACACTAGATACCAAATCAACAACTTGGAGATGTTGAGCCAAGTAATTTGTTTTTAAATTTTGATTCAGGTATTACTTTGGATTTTTTTTTTTTTTTATGAAAATATGTCCTCCTTATGCTTAAGGTCATTTACTCTTTAAGCTCGAAACAAGTTTTCAGATGATTAATTAGGTACTCCTGTAATCAAAGTGTGCAGATTTAAATTTATGAAGGACTGTTTGTACTTAAATGTACTTAATAGCAATGCAATAAGGAGATCTCATGTTCTCTATACCTTGTCTAAAATAACTGAAATTATGTACATAAATTACATGTGGAGGAATTAACTGGTGATTAGCTTCATCAGCTATATCACTCCATAGATAAGGTCAAAGGAGCAGATCACAAACCTTTCAGTGAAATCTCTGACATTAAAGGCAGCAAATCCAAATTCTTCTTGACATATAACTTGTTTCAACTATATGATTGTTAGGAATATTCCTTGTAGAAAGGATTCTTACTGCTGGACCAGCTGACTCAGAATACTACTGTTATTTAAATGTTCTTCAATTACTTTGTTGATGTTATCAGGATGTAGTATGCTACAGTTTACTCTAAATTGATTTAATCTAATTGAAGGCCAAAACTACTAACCTTTCTTAGGTTCAATTCCATACTGCACAGCTTCCTTACAGAACAGAGCTATGGTTGCTCTAGGGGATTTTGGGAGGCATTTCAAGGGTAACTGGAATTGATCAGAATTTTCTAGGAGATCTGCAAGCATAGTTTTGAGCTAACTAAATTATTTGTGTGTTTACCCTTAGAAGCAAGTGATACTTCCTTCTACTTTTAACCCCTCTTTTACACAGTATTTCTGGTGAGGAATATAATTAGTAGCTAATGATAGTTAAATTTACCAATTTCTTTTTTTAATATAAAGCATTTATTCTCATTTATCCATAAACCAGCATGCATTAGACAGATACTATGCTGCAGGTAAGCTTTTAAAAGGATTGTATTTGAGAAACTAATCTTTGAGTGGAGTAAGTAGAGACAAAACCTTGTTTGAGTGGTGAAATGGAAGGACATGCAAAGCAAAGGTAGCACTGATAAGGGATGAAAGAATTAAAAGTAATGACTGCAGAACTCTGATACCACTGTAGATAAAGACAATTAAAGATAGAGTGGGACTAACCCCTAAGCTAAAGGAAAAGGACATTAATAACCTAAGAATAAGTGATTCTTTAAAAAGAAGGAGTCATACATAAATTACATGTCTAACTTTTTGAAGTCAGTATTTGCTATAGATATGTTACATAGTAACTATGGGAAACTTCTCTGTCAAGTTAATGAGATATTGTTCAAATGAATGATAGAGATATATGAGTTGAAACTGCAAGTTTTTGGCTAAGTGATACATTACTGTTCCATTAAAAAAAGGCAAAGAATGTAACAGAATCCTATTGGTACTTCTCCAGTGCAGTACCAGACTCAAAGTCAAAGCTAACATAAAAATGGATAGTCCTGAAATAATTAATTCTCTTGTGTGGCTGAACTAATTTAAACAACAAAAGTAGTTTGGCTTTTGATCCAGCAAATACTTTGATTTTCTGTGCATGCTGTTGTGCAAAAAAGGACAGTTGATACAGCTGTGAAGAACGAAAATCAGGATGAAGGTCAGGCAAATGCTCTGTGCAGCTGGGCTCCCTCCAAAGCACTTACAGCCTTTTCTGAGCTCTTATTCTGAAGACACTGATTTACAAAGCCAGAATGTTTTCTCTACCCATATGTAAAGGTGTTTGTAGCTTTTGTTTCCACCATGGATGGATTTATCAGTAAGAGAGTCCCCCATTAGTGGCCCATTTTGTTACTACCTGCCTTCAATTGCTTCAATTGCAGTGCAGACAATTTGAATCGTGTGCTGGTTTCATCTGAGGTAATTTTCTTCACAGTGGTTAGTGTGGGGCTGTATTTTGGATTTGTGCTGGACACAGAGTTGATAATGTAGAGATGGTTTTGTTATTGCTGAGCAGGGCTTACACATAGCCAAGGCCTTCTCTGTTTTTTTGTACTGCTATGCTGGCAAAGAAGTTTGGGAGTACATGGGAAGTTGGGAGGAGACACAACCAGGACAGCTGACCCCAACTGATCAAAGGGATATTTCCAATCATATGACATCATGCTCAGTATATAAAGTGGGGGGAAGAAGGAGAAAGTGGGGGAGGTTTGGACTGATGGTGTTTGGCTTCCCAAGTAACTATCATATGTGATGGGGCCTGGCTCCTCTGGAGATGGTTGAAAACCTGCCTGCCCATGGGAAACAGTTAATTAACTTCTTGTTTGCTTACTCAGCTTTTGCTGTCCCTGTTAAATTGTCATTGTCTCAACCCATGAGCTCTCTACCTTTTACCCTCCTGGTTCTGTCCCCAGTCCTTCTGGTGGGGCAGTGAGCGAGCAGCTGTGTGGGGCTATGGTGAAACCATAAAAAATGGTCAAGGGCAAGTGAGCGGGTTTGTAACAACATTCTGTCAGCTCCTTGTCAAGCCTACAATAGCAGGTTCCAGAGGAAATGTGATACCTACTGGTAGTGGTGAAGTTTGCTTTTATCAAGCTCTTCTGAAAGCACAGATTGATGGTAGTACAATTCCTTCCTGCTCTGACATATCTCTTTGCATTCCAGGTGACTGGTCTAAGCACTGAGCTGTAAAGTGGTATCTTTCTGTCCATCTGTGTTCCAATCAATTATTTATGCAAAGTGGAGAAAGGAAAGAAGCTCACCCCAGGATGCCCTCCAGTCCCAGGGCTGTATGTGAGGGGTGCTGGTGCCCTCACCATTATTTAGGGACCCTCGCTGACTGGACCATCCCTGTGCTCCCCCTCTCTGGTGCTGGCAGAGTAGTTTGTGTAGGCAGGATTAGGCTTCTCGTCTGGGTTGAAGTGATCTGCTTTCTCTTTTGAGGTGGAATTACAACTTCAGTGCAATAAAAACAACCTGCATGTTTTCTCCACAAAAATAAATGCAATAAAGCTCCTACTGAAATCAACATCAGAGTTGCAGCATTTCAAAGGAGAGGAACTGTAACCAAGGAGAGTGCCTTGGAGAAAGCATCCATGTGCTTATTCCCTAAAATTTGTTTTCATTTTCAGAACCAGGATGAGCTTAAAAAAAGCAAATACATTTTATATGGTTCATTCTGCAATTTATTGGTGCTTCTAGAGATGCAATGGTGCTGGCAGCATTCCATTTGGGATTAGGTTAGATATTAAGAAGGAATTCTTTACTCTGTGGTTGGTGAGACACTTGGACAGGTTGCCCAGAGAAGATTTGGATGTCCCATCCCTGGCAGTGTTCAAGGCCAGGCTGGATGAGACCTCGAGCAACCTGTTTTAGTGGGAGCTATTCCTGCTAGGGCTAGATGATATTTAAGATCCCTTCCAAACCTTAATGTTCTGTGGTTCCATGAATTCATACAATACTTGCAAACTTGCATCTTTTCTGAGCACAAGCAATGGATGTGTCACTGCAAATTCTGCTGTGTGGTTTGCACATGCGCTGCACCTTGGTGAATACAGTGGCGCAGACTCCTCTTTCCCTCTCTCTTTTACATAAAAATGACCATATATACTCCAAAATGACCCAGCTTGCCCATTCAGCTTGGCTCCACTTTAAGTCCTCATGTGTGGGCAAATGTGTAAGATAGTCACAGATATCTTTTGTATTTGTTTGCTTAAATGCAACTCTTGTCCATATTGCTGAAGTTACTGCAATGATAGCTCAGAAAATGAAAAAGCTTTCCCCAAAGCTAAACCCGTGGTTGTTACTTTACCTAATGATGCCATCTCTCAGTTTGCCCCTCTCCCCCCTGCAGCTGCTTTCCCTATCAGTAGTGGAGGTTTCCTGTCACCATGGTATGTAAGTCACTATCATCCCACTTGGTGAAGTTTTCTGTTTCTGTGTGTTCCTCCTCATGCTTTAGATCTTCAGAGGTTGCAGTATTGCCATCTTCTAGAGCCTCATTCAAGCAGTGATGCTTCTGAGTGAAGTTGTGGCTGAGTGAAGCATGGCATCTGTCTGCTTCCTGTTGTGCACTTCTGTGAACAGACACCTCTGTAATTGTACTTCTCTGTTACATTTATTCATCCTTTCCTTGATGTATTTACGCTGTAAATGTACGTTGTTCAGGGCAAGGTCCGCATTCTCTTTCTTTACTATGTACCAACGTAGCATAGCTCTGTATGGACTGTGTCAACATATAAGTGGCCAGAATTACAATAATGTGCCCGCGGGTGCCCAGGACGGGGACTCAGGAAGGACACGGGGGTGCAGGAAGGAGATGGGGACAGGGGAGGACAGGGGAGGACAGGGGGAGGACACGGGGACATTGCCGACGGCCGCGGCCAGGGCGAGCCCCGCTCCCCTCACGCCCGGCTCGTGCCAGCCCGCAGCGCCCCCTGCCGGCGCGGGCGGGGCGCTCGGTGGCTCGGCGCTCGGCCGGCGCTGCCTGCCACACCAGCAGGCGGCCCCGCGGCCGCGGCGCACGCGCGTGCCCGCGCTCCCTGCGTGGCCGCCGCGGGAGCGGGGCCGGGAGCGGCGGCGGGGCCGCGTCCTGCGGGCGGAGCGGCCGGCAGCGGCAGCGGCGCGGGCAGCGCGCTGGGCGGGGAGCGGCCGGCAGCATGTCGGCGGCGGGCGGTGGGCCCTGCGCTCCGGGCGCGGCCGGCCCGGCCTCGGCGGCGGGCGGCGGCGTGTCCATGTTCCGCTGGCTGGAGGTGCTGGAGAAGGAGTTCGACAAGGCGTTCGTGGACGTGGACCTGCTGCTGGGCGAGATCGACCCCGACCAGGCCGACATCACGTACGAGGGGCGGCAGAAGATGACGAGCCTGAGCTCGTGCTTCGCCCAGCTCTGCCACAAGGCTCAGACCGTGTCCCAGATCAACCACAAGCTGGAGGTGAGGGGCTGCCGCGGCAGCGGGCGGGGCCGGGCCGGGGCCGCATCCCGGACGTGCCGGCGCGGCCGGGCCCTGCTCCGGGGCAGCGGGGCTCCCCCGGGGCTCTTCTGCTCCTTCCCTGCCCGAGGCAGCGGAGGAAGGTTCACCAGACTCCGCGTTTTGGCCTGGCCGCGGCCATCCTTCCTCTGGGTTTGGTAATTCCAGCTCTGGCATGGAGCGGTGCGTGCCAAAGGAGTTCTCCGTGATGTTGAAAGCAAGAATTTTGGGCGACAGATGCTGCTGACTGGGCTTCTTGGCAGTGAGTCAGGACGAGAGGACAGAGGCTTAAGCTGCGCCAGGGGAGGATTAGGTTGGACATTAGGAAGAAGTTCTTCGCAGAAGGGCTGGTTAGACATTGAAATGTGCTCTCGAGGGTGGTGATGGAGCCACCGTCCCTGGAGGTGTTTAAGGAAAGACTTAGTCTGGTTACCATGGGAGTGTTTCGTCTCAGGTTGGGCTTGATAATCCCGGAGTTCTTTTCCAGCCTAATTTATTCCTAGATTCTGTGAATTTGGAAAAACTTGTAGAAGAAGGGACAAAGGCAAGACCGAGGTGCTTAAAGCTTAGAGTCAGTAGTCAAAATGAGGACATTGTTCCTCCTTACAAGTAAAGGAAACTGAAAAGTGGATTGGGGATGGTCTTTGACAGGTCCTCTTGTTCCTTCACACTTCAAAGCAGATCAAATAGCTCTCTGCCAAGCTTAGTAACTGAAAATAATAGCAGGGGTCGCACATTCTGTGAGGAGAAGAATAACTGGTCTTCCTGTTGGAAGGTTTTCTTCATGCCTGATACAGAGTTTCAGTCAGGCTGGGAGAAAAGAAGCCAGAGTCAAGTTATCTGGTCCTGATGCTGCTGAGGCAGGGCTGCAGGTCCTTTGGCCTGTGAAAGAACTGGAGGGCTCTGGAAGGAGATTCTGGGGAACTTCATGGTCATTTTATATCTATCCAACCCGAGTGTCTTTGGTTTAGTAAGTATTATTTGTGGTATCCTCAGCAGGTGTGAATGTGAGCCTGCCGTCTTGTCTTTTAATTACAATTAGAAGGCTTTTGACGTTTCTTCCTCACTTAGCTTTTCTCTCTACTAAAGCTTTCCATTTTCTTCATTGTCTCTTGTAGGCCATACTTTTTAGACTTCTGTTGCTTATTCTTTTAACTTGTAAGGGTATAGCAGTAAGAGGGGAAATTCAGAGACACCGTGAAAATATGGGTTTTGTAAGAGATTCAGTAGACAGAATTCCCTTCTTTCAGCCCTTTGTGTTACACTTATTATAATAAAAGAATCTTAGAGTCTTCAAGCAGTAACCTGCTCTTTTGAAGGTGTGTCTTTCAGTAGGAAGTAAGTAGATTGGCTTTGTATTTAATCAGGTTTCTTCCTGGTATGAAGACATTGTTATGCAAAAGAACCTGTGGAATTTTACAGAGGAGCAGGATTTTTTAGAGTAGAACAAAGATCTTGTTAAACTGGGTTTTTTTTTTTCATCTAATTTTTATTTTTCACCAGAATGCTTACTGTAGTGATGTTTATGTTCCTCTATGTGGTTATGTTGATATGCTGTTTTATATGTTTCAGGATTGGGGAGAGATATATATATATGTATGTGCACACACATATAGAGAGCCTATAAAGTAGGCTTCATGAAGTATAGGTATAGTAAAATGAGATCTATGAGTTTGTGGTACATAATCAGAATTTCTTGCATATGGCACAGGCATGGTGGGTTGTCGTGTACAGGCCTGTAAACCAAGTGAGTTTTGAGGTTATTTTAAGAGAGTGGATTTCTTTGAAAGCTTAAATATTTTGAAAGGAAGTTATATAACTCAGATCCTGAAAGGATTTTTCTATCTAATTAAAATCATCAGGAGCGCCTAAAAAACTGAAGATCTGTGCCTGAATCTCTTACGAATTGAAGAGCAAAGTTAGCAGTTGTTAATAATTAGCATTATTTTTGTGTATGCTTGAGGTAATTGTTTGATAAAAATGATACTCATAATCTAGAGGGACTGCTTTGGAAGTGAATAAAAAGTGTTACTTCGTATTTTTATTGCTGTGAGTATTATTAGGCCTCATACATATAGAGGAGTTTTTATCTTTCAAATAGACCTTTAGCAGACTAGTCATATTGACTTGAAAGGTATTAATTTTAGGACCTCATGTTTATTGGAGTTATAAACTTGAAATGAAAGCTGCCATTTAAAATCTCCAAAAGATGGAGCTGCTCTGTTGAAAATGAGTGTCTTGTCTTCTTACATGCACAGATTCCTAATCAGAAGCCCCGGTGACCAATATGAGGAGTACAATTACATATTTTGAAAGAAAACACTAACATCAATACTGGCATTTAGGATGTGATTGGTGGTTTTACTTCTTTTTTATCATGTGAGTTACTGTACTTCATGTAACTTTTAAGATTGCAAGCATTTCTTAATAACTCACCATTATAACTTAAACATCCTCTGTAATAGTTTACTTAAGTACACTTATTCGAGCCAATAAATTAGATCCATCTTGAGAAATACTAAAATATTACAAATAAATCCATTATTTGGATTAAAATAATACTTGGACTGAATCTAAGTTTGTCTAAGCTTACTCCTGTAGCTGCATTTGACTGGACTTGTCTTACTGTGATATTATTTCATGAAGGAAAATGACAAAAGGTTATTAATATTCTGTTGCTTGTGAATACCATTTCCTTGACCAAAATTTTTGAGTCTTATTATAACATTGCAGGCAAGAATAAAGAAATGCAGTTCAGACTTTGATTTATCCACTTTATCAGCTTAATACACATTCTCTGATTGGTGCAGTCGCTTTTAAGAGTCACAGCTTGAGGTCTGATGGATGGAAGCTTCTGCTGTAGGACTTCCCAAAAAAATTGTTGTCATCTTGATGTATATCTATTGCTAGAGAGAGGAGTCTAGGTAAAATATTATGTGGAGGATGTTTCTGGATAGTGAAAGAAGTGTTCCAGAAAGACAGTAGTTTCTCAAGAGGCAGCTGTATGTTGGCAGTTCTGGGCCAGGTTATTTTTAGAAGGAGCCTGAAGGTATTTCAGATGCACAGAGGATGTATGCAAATAAATTTACTTGTGCTTAGGTGAAAGTTTATAAATCTACTGTGCTTAACAATATTTTTAATCTTAAATTAAACTAATGATATGTTAGGGGGAGGATTTGTTTTGTTTTCATAATTTTCCTGCTGGTCACAGTATGACAGAGTTGAATTAAATAGCTTTTCAAGGAGGAGAAAAAAAAAGGTGTTTGGCAATACAAGCCACTGTCTTTTCTGAGATCAGGCACATTTAATTGTGAACAAATGGAGAAGAGTATCTTGTTAGTAGGATAGCAAGGACCTCGGTCTTTTAGAACTGGTGATAGACATTTTGAAGGAGATTTTTTGTGATTATCTGTTGGAAAACCATATCAGTCAGCAGATGCATGCTGGTGATCATTGTGTGAGATTTTAGAAAATGTTTAACTGAGAAGCAGTTTATAGGTTTTTTTTTTTCCTGTTTGTCTGTCACTAGATGATGACATTGTCTAAATAGCCATTTCAAAAAATGAAAGTTCTGTGTATCTGCAGTTTTGTAGAAATAAAAGAAGTAGGTCAATGTGCCAGTGAAAACTGAGCTTGACTAACTCTGGCACTTTGACTGCCAATCTGATTCTGCAATTTTAAATGAACAAGCTAGAAAGGAATGTTTGGTGGAGCACACCCTGTATCTTGGCAGATGTATTAAGCCTGTGTATATGCTAAAGCTGAGGAAACCATGTATGTCCAACAAGTTAAATGTAGTTTTATGTCCGTGATTAAGTTGAATCAGCATGTTTAGAGGAACATGTTTCTATAAGATGAATTCTTCTGTAAGTAACTTGTAACCTATTCAGTTAAAGCACATACAGAATGATGTGGGTAATATGAAGATGTATATATAAAAAACCCCAACTGCAAACTGGAAAAGCTAAATGTAGGTGGCTTTATGTGTATGGTGACTTTCCATAAGCATGCAAGTCCATCTTATGGAACACACTGCAGAGGTACAGTCCTGCTCTGTTGTTTGGCACTACTTGATCGAAGTAGGACCATACACCTTCTTAGGAAAGTTTGTCTGGATTTTTTTTGTTGTTGTTGTTGTTGGTTTTGGTTTTTTTTTTGCCTCTCTCCTTTATTTTGTAGTGAGAAATGCACTTGTTGAAGACTAAGATATTCTTTTGTTCATGTGAGGTATGTATATACATACATATAGAATAGTTGAAATAGCTTATTTACTTTTTTCAAATGCCATTAATATTTCCAGTATCTACTGAGGTATTATTACTTTTAATACTTTTTCTCTTTTGGTTTAGAAATCTGTTGGTACTAGATAGAGTATGTTTTTTTTTGAAATATTGGTGGAGTGAGATTTGGTGCAGCTAATTTGATATCCTAAAATGTGAGCATTTTTCACATATTCAGGAAATACAGATTTGCATCCATTTTTCCTGTCAGTTTATATACTAAGTTGTCATTAGTGTGATACACATAATTACTATCAGAATCGTTGTGCCTTTTATAATTACAATTATACCTATATTTAATTAATATTTTCCTGTATCAGAAGCCTATATACTTCTATACAAATTTAACTAGCCTAATTGGTTTTTATTTTGTACGTGATAGTGTTTTCCTTTTCTGTCTCATTTGTTGGGAGCTATCAAAGAGAAAGTGAGAGGAAATCAGTATATTTGTTTATATTTCTTATGATTTTTTATTGATTTAAGTTGCATAGCTAGTATGGATTTCAAAATACTGACAATAATAAAACTATCAATATAACTTCTAAGAACAGATTTCTGTCTTCCTGATAAGCAACTAGAATTATGAGCAACCTGACGAAAATAGTCATTGTGAGGCAGTCAGAAATTTGTCCCTGTCAGCAAAGTGATTTAAAAAACAAAGTGATTTGTTCTTCTGTAAGTCAC